GCTGTCATTGTTCATTTTAGTCAAACCATACAGTTTGAAAACGAGGCGCGGCTCCAACTAGAAAACAATGTTTTGATGCATTGGATGTGCTGAATGTGCATATTAAGGCAGTACAGGAGGAGGTGCACATTAATAATCCTCCAGGACTGTAACATGCTCATGTTTAACCCAAACAATGTGTCTTGTGACTGCAGTTGCTTCACATCCAGGTCGAAACACCTTCTCACCACAAATGAACCGCACCAGAGTTCGTTTGTGTGTGTTTGGTGTGCACCTGAGTGTGATTGCTGTGTTCACACCTGCGTAAATTACCTACACTGAGGGGGCAAACAAACTTGAATTAGAACTTGAATTAGAACTGAATCAAGCAGGGCAGGTGTGAAAGCCCCCGACAGCAAGGTGAAAATATTCTTCTTATAGAGTACACCGAAACTGATATTGATTTTTTAGGTGGCTAAAAAATGTCTACAGCTGTACATTGCTTAGCTTTTGTGTCGGTACTCCTGCCTGCTTCTCCAAACTGGGGGCTGACTGACACTTACTGTAGGTAACTATACTTTTCAGTTATTATTACTATCAGTGCTGTAACCTACATCACTGCTTTTGTCCAACAGCTGAGTGGGTGTTCTTATTTGTAAAAGCTGAAAAAAGAACACAGATGGAGTCGACCTTTAATGTAGTTGCTAAATAGGACACTACAGAGGAGGAAGAATAAATTCAACCAGCCTGATTCGACATGAATACAAATGTTGGAACACAATGGCTTGGTTTTTAGCTGCAGGTTTTTTATCCTCTTATTGCAGCACCTTGTTAGAAAATAGAGGAAGAATTTACACAAAGGAAATACCTCATTTTTAGTTCTCTGTAATATAAAACACAGCTGACTGTCGGGCTAACAGGTTTCAAACAATGCCACTTTCTGACTGGAACATTTTGGGCTTTAACTTTGGGTCCTTTGTTGCATGATGGGGAATGAAACGATGCAACAAAGGACCCTGGCTGGAGTTGAACACAGGGACAGCAGGGGTCATTTTGGGCATCTCAGCCCCTGAGTTAGATTCGGAGATTGATACCAGTCTCAAGTCTGGACAGTAAATATGTAGCTGGAGGCAGCAGGCAGCTGCAGACTGTAGCCTGATATATAACAGACAGATATGAGAGTGGTATCAATTTCCTCAGTTAATCCCCGGCACGAAAGTGAATAAGTGTATTTTCCAAAATGTCAAATGTCTGTTTTAACAAAAAACAAACAAAAAAAAAACACACTAAAGGACACCACATCCTAAAAGAAACGATCCAGTAATCCACTTTCTCTAAGCAAGTAAATTAAAATGTTGCATTGGTTGGCGTCTTTAAAGATTTCTGTCTCAGTTATCACTAAAAAACATGAATGGTAGTGTATAATTTCAGCTCATTAAGGTCAGGTGAGCAGGCGAAGGCCCTGGTCAGGCGAAGCGGTTTTAGCAGCCTGGGGCAGCTTTTTGTAATTTGACCTTTCAATGAGACTGAAGCTTTTTGCTCACTGCTGTTGTGTTGCGGAGCGCCTCACATTGTTCTACTGTATGGGCCTCGCAGGTGCACCCTGAACTCAAAAACTTCAACTCAGAGCAGAGCAGTGTTGGACATCATTTGCGTTTTTTCCCCATTGTTGAATGGGGTGAAAAAAATGGTGCAGGAATGAGTCTTAAAATGCGGAAATTAGTTAGCACATGATGAGTGTGGTTCCCTTGTTTCGAGGTAACTGGGTTTTTTTAATGGGTTTTTGGTGCCTGAAGTAAGGTCTGTGGTAAACACAAGCTTAAGACTTTAAAGTTTTCACAAGTGCTATATCGTAGGCAACTGGACTTGCTTGTGTTGGTGATGGTGTAGTTTGTTTATGGCCTAACGTTAGCTTTTTACTTCTGGCAATTGCATTTACACTCCAAACTAGGGCTGCCCTGACTAATTTTCCTAGTCAACCAATAGTCGTCATTTAGGGCCATCAGACGACTAGTCGCCCACATGTTTCTGATATGAATGTAATGATTAAATGATATATTTTGGTGGTTTGAGTTGAAGGTGTGAGAAAGAATAATATCAGTAACATTGTTAACACTGTGCTACATTACAGAGAAATACAAAACCGTACTAATGAACCTTCATTAATATAGGCCTATATTTTATCTCCAAGTGCACGTCACACACTGAGCGAGCCGCCTGTTAATGACGCTGTGGGCTAATGGGCATGTAGCTACTTCCATGTTTCAGATGATACGTCATGTTTGTAGTCGACCAATGAAGATGAGTTTACATATCACCTTGGGTTCGTCCTTCACCTTCTCAAAATGATCCCACACTTTGGATTTCCTGCCTGACATGTTATTAACTAGCCTGTGGAATAACCGCAGGTACCAGCCCTGGAAATTAACCTGACTCCTGTCTGACTGCTGAGCGTGGACACTTCCTGTGTCTGTCCTTTCAAATTAAAGTCCCACATGGTCCAGTCAGATAGGTTTGGATTTATTTGGACAAGGCGCAGCTCGTCATAGAATTTCACATTTTTGTTTTGGTTTTGTTTTGTTTTGTTTGTTTATTTTTCTGTGACTAAGCAACTAAAGAAATCTTGACGACGAATGACCTTTCTGGTCGACTAACATTTGGTCGACTATTATGGGACAGCCCTACCTCAAACACCAGAAAGTGGTGTCTCTCTGAACACAATGTATATGTGTCTTAAACTTATGTTTGCCATGGAGTTGCGATATTAACTTCAGGGTTATCCCACAAAAATAAACTTCATCCCTGCAGCACCCCGTGTAGAGATGGGCCTTCTGTGGTGGTGACAACAACAAGATGGATCTCTGTCTCCTTGTGTTCAACATACTATTTGAGAACAGCCTCTCACTCCCATCAGAGCCACAGCAAGTGCCCTCAGCATGTCTATTTTTTATGCAGATGGTTATTAATTAGACACTGTAGGCAGGTTATTAGCTGCTTGCTATGTCACTATCTAAAAGATAAAAGAAACAGATCTGTGAGTTTTCACAGCAAAATAACAGTTAGGCCACGAACAGGTGATTTAGTGGTTGCCCAGCAACAATAAAAAAAAGACACAGCAAGCTGCTCTTTTTTAAGTTGTAGGCTTTAAAAACAAGGCAGTGTGGTGAGCCTGCACAAGAAAAACCTGTCCTCTCAGGATACCTGTATGATCAGACACTATGGTCAGACTGAACTATGAGAAACAGTTCATCAGCTTCCTCTTTTGTTCCTGTTTTCACTGCTCATACTGTGGCAGTATTTTATAGTTTACAAGCTCTGTCAAATGAGGTTTAACTAAACCAATAAAGCACTCAAAATCTCTCTGTCTCTCTCACAGCCTCTGAGAGGTAAGAACACCGTGGACTTGATTGTTGAGGGCTCAGTCCTGGAGCTCCAGGACGTCTCCGGCCCGTTCCTTTACTGGCCCGTACGAGTAATCCAGAACGTCGGAGGGAGGCTCCGTCTGCGCTACGCCGGACTCTCTGACGACCACGAGGCTCAGGACACCTGGCTGTTCTACCTGGACGTCAGGCTCCGCCCGCTCGGCTGGGCTCTGGAGAACCGTCTCGCCTTAGAACCGCCTACAGGTGATTATCTGATCTGCTTGCACCTTTTCATTTACTGCTGCGGTCACAAGGAGGACCTTTGATTTTCTCACAACACAATCACAGCGTTTATGAGAAACTTAATGATACTTAATGAGCCGTTTGTCATCGTTCATTTTTAATGGTCCATTTGGAATTTGTTTGAAAGGTTTAAATCAGGGTTTCAACTGTGTTCATTATCTTTAACCTGAATATTGTTTTCTTGATTTTATCTCTTTATATTTTGCTCAAGGATTTGTATTAGAAAACACTGAATATTCAGAGAGTCAGAGTTCAAGGTAGTCGTTGTTAAAATCCCTACCAACAAAATTATTTTTGATTCGTAATAATTGATGACATTCACAGAAACTGTTGAGTTTAAAAGGTACACTGATGTCATGTATTTTATTTGAGCTGCAGTATGAGAATAATCTACCCCTCTCAATGTGACAGTGGATCCTAAAAAACTAATCTTTAATATCATATTCCCTCCTCAGGACTCAGGTCTCTGAAGAGCGCCTCCGATTGGCAGGAGGCTCTGGAGGATGCCCGACTCAACGGACAGAAGAGCCCACTGCCACTGGAGGTGTTCAAGGTGAGTCAGTTCACACACACTGCTGCTCTTCACACAGAGTATATATGTGTGTGTGTGTGTGTGTGTGTGTGGCGTTGGCTCAGAGCCAGACTGCAGGACTGTCTGGATGAGACGAGCTTTGTTATGTTGCCAGTCTTACCTCTGGTGTCTGGGGCTGATTTATGATGTGAAACTGGGATAATAAATGGTAATGCAATATATTACAGGTCTGTAATTTCCTCATAATCATTTTCCAGCAGGTTTCATTGAAAGAATGATGTGATGTGGTACCAATTATAGAGGGAAACAGGAAGATCCTTGAAAGAAGAGCTCCATTTAAACACATGGGAACATTCATTAATGATTAATTTATTAAGGAAATTTTAGTCTCTCTGTGCTGTGTGTTGAATTGTGTATTTGCATGAAGATAAAGTTCACATTGTTGCGTGTTCAGTTAATCTGCTAACTGATGGGAACTGTGCCAATTGAACGCTGTTTTTCTCCATAATAACGAAAACTCGAAAACTGCCTAATCCTCAGAAAAAAATGTTGGTGTTGTACATTTCTGCAAAAAAGGAAATCGTAATAGTTTGGCTGTTTTGGAGGCAAAATCACAAGTGGAGACGCAGCGATGTCTCTTTTAAAAGACAACCACATAATGTTGCGCTATCCCCGCTGGAAACACAGTGATGGATCGCTACAAACAGCTATGTTTGGTGGCTAAAATACCGCTGGAAACAACTGGTTTTGTTGTTTGTTGGTCTCAAACAGAGGTCTGCAGCTTTGGAGGCGTCTCACCTAGGTGTCACACCATCCACCTTCTTCTCCACCTCCCGTTGACAAAGTCAGCTCATATATTACGTCACTTCAGAAAAGTTGATGTGAAATGTATTAAATGTGCAAATGTAATGTATCCATGGTTGACTGAAACGTACAATGCCAACAATTTCTTCTGGCGACTGAACTGAGCTGCACCATTAAAATCCCTCCTTTGAATTCGGAAATCTACAGCAGCAAACCAAACACTCCTCAAGTCGAGCAACAGACACCTGAAGTACCAGGAGAAACTCAATGAAAGAAAAAGTTTCCTACAGCCCAGTTCAGACCAAAGATTCACGACAAGAAGAAACCGTTTTAGAAAGCTGCAGAGAAAAGTTGCAGCAGTGTGAACTGGCCGGTCTGAGTTCGACTAAAGCCGGTTGATGGTGTCACCTGCGACTCCACTGGTCAAATCGCTGGCGGCTGGTTTTAAAGCACGTCACCTGTTTCGACAGCCAATTGTTTTGTAGTAAAGTCTGCTGGTCAAATCAAAATGACAGCACACGGCGTGATTGCTTGCTGCAGCAGGTGCTCTGTCCCCGCCGAGCCCTCTGTTTCCGTCCTCACGGTGTGCCGGTGCCGGATGGTGGGTCGTTTTCCTATGTTTCATCACGACGACAAATGCAACTGTAGCCAGTATCTCACTATCACTATCGTCATTCATATTTTAAGAAGCTACAAATTATATTCAGCCACAAAATAAACCTGAAAAGCTGCAAATCAGAGCAGAAGTACAGAGAGTTGCTGCATAGAGATGATACACTGTCCCTGGTTGCATTGGTGTGAACTGGCAGGTTTTTAGAACGTAGCGCAAGTAGTTGCCTATTTCAACTCATCTCGTCCCGAATCTTTGGTCTGAACTGGGCGTAGTGCTAATAACTAGAATTAAAATGACCAAAAATTGTGACCAAACTGTGGTACAACCAACAAACAGGCTAGAATAAGCAGATCTTATTCACATTAACGAAGAAGGAACATAAAATCAAAGGATTTCTACCACTACCTGAAACTTTCTGACATGAAACAGTGTGATGAAGCTCCAGTATCAACGCCCCGAAAACTGCCAGAAACTCCCTTCATCCAAACCACAACAACATCCATAACTGAAAGCTGAAAGCAAACCTGACAAGCTGTCAGTGAGATTACAAAGGCAATATTTGTTTTTATCTAAAAAATGCTTTCCCTAAGTTTCCCTCTGGCATACAGGAAGTGATGTGTTTACATTTCCAGCTCATTTAGAATGAATAGAAGAAGAAGAACTGGGTAGTTGGCATGAGGAGTGGAAATATAAATCACATCGTCTATCAGTAAAAAGTGATAATTAATATTTATTTTAGGCCTAACGATCACCACCATCCTGAGATGATGGGGATAACACTTTGCCTCGTTCATTACATGCCCACCCAGCAGGGTCTGAGTGACCTACATTGTCTTGCATGTGTGTGCGCGTTAACAAAAGTGGAGCACATTTGTCTGAAAGTCTTGACTTTACTGTGTCAGGACCATGTAGACCTGCCCGAGCACTACTTCAAGACGGGGATGAAACTGGAGATGGTTTCTCCATGGGAGCAGCTCCAGATCTGCCCTGTTTCTGTCACCAAGGTGAGTCACACTGAAAACAATGTCTTATCTTTAAGAAGAAGAAAAAAAATAGATATATTAAGCAGACGCCTCCCCCAGGCATTCCTCAGCTGCCTTTATTAATGTGGCATCAAATTTTTAACATGTTTCTGCCCAGAAGGCCTCGTTCCTCAGGTTTCTGGATTCCTGTGACTGGAAGTTGGTATTTTATCTTTCATGTGTCGCACTGATGCCGACTTCTGATTCTTTCATCATTGTCTTATTTTTATATACTTTCCTTACCGTGTTCCTTTTGTTTAATAAAACCACTGATACTCTGCTGTATTGTGTGACATCCAAACCCTCCTTTTTTGGGGAATAAATCTGTCAATAGTCAATATTCTGTGCCAGTATTCAATAGTTTAAAGACACAAATAGGAACTTTAAATGTTGTATTTTACTCCCAGCGCTCTGCGGATGTTTTGAAAGATTCCGACATCTTGATTTTCTGAGCACTATTTAAAGGGATTTTTTTGTGGTGCTTTCTTAAAATAAGGAAGTCTACACTGTCCGCAATAAAGCTCTAAAAAAAATCCAGTGTTTGAATTTAGACCAAAGAAGTGTTTAAAGTCATGTTTCTGAAAATGCTCAATTTGAATCTTCCAAGAAGGAAATACCAAATATGACCCACTAGAAGAGTGTGGTGGTGTGTTTTTCTGCAGAGACTCTGCCCGCTGCCCGTATTTTCTTATTTAATATGTTCAGAATGTTTATGGGCGTGTACCCACACAGAGCTCAGGTGAGGTCCGGTGCCAAACTGTAAGCAGGAGGCATCCAAGAGACACAGTGCCAAAAAAAAAAAAAATGCAAATAGGGTGAGGCAAAGTGCCAAACAAGAGTGAATCTGGGGCTGGCTTTTGCTCCCACTTTCACTTTCTCTGACAGCAAACAGTAACCGACAATCCTACATAGATACCTTTAAGAACTGAATAATGATAAAACTCAAATTATAAGTATTAGTATTAGTAAGTATTTAATAGCTTTAAAAATGTTTGGGTATGGCTCTTGTTGCTTTCATACCAGACTTAAAGGGGCCCTCCAGCCTTTTACTCTTCCACAGATTAAAAGAAAGAATGGTCAGAATCGACACAACTGAGCCTGAAATATTGAAAAACTTTGGAGCCTACATTTCCCATGATGCACCTCCATAGCAAAATACATCCTGGGCAATCAGATCACAAGTAACTGCTCTACGTACAGGTGTGAGTGCAACCAATGTGTCCACATTAAAGGACAGTCTCCTCAGCTGACATCCTTGCTTATCTTGCTCTCCGCCAGAAAACTTTCTGTTGCTGCCGTTACACAAGTTAGACACAGAAATGAAGGACCATCTCTTGAGCAGCTCTCCTCTCTGGCAAATGATCAGGTCAACGTCAGTTGACAGCCAGTTAGCATGAGCCAACAAACTCACACCGACACCAAAACAGCTTGAATCTGTTGTTAAACCTGTTCATATCTGTTAAGTAACGTTAGCAATGTGAGGCTAACAGTTAGCCCTGTAACTATGTGTGTGCAGATGGACTCTCACCAACTGTCCCCATCACAGAGCTCACCCTCCAGCAGCAGTAGTCTGCTAATGATGGTACATGAAGTGATGTGTGTGTTTATTTGAGAGGGGAAGTTAGATCCGATCACTTGAGACGCATGTGGAGACAGATTCTAATCTCAGGCTCCAAAATGTCGCATTAAAAAGATGTTAATAGTTTCTCTTCTTGTTTTTTCCTCTTCAGGTCTACAATGAAATCTACTTCCAGGTAATGCTGGATGATCTCTCAGTCGATGCAAAGCCGCAGTGTGTGGTGTGTCACATCAACTCGACGGGCATCTTGCCTGTCCAGTGGTGTCTGAAGAACGGTGTGGGCCTGGAGCGGCCCCCGGGTTACGAGGGCCAAGACTTTGACTGGGCTGACTACCTGAAGCAGAGTGGGACAGAGGCAGCTCCGGACGCCTGCTTCCCTGATGTAAGACAGACATTTGATGCAGCATCCAGACAATGACATGCTCGGTCTGCATTAGACTTGCTATTTATATTAGGACTATTCATAAGCAACTGTTTGGAGTTTGTTTGTGAAGTATGTCATTAAGGTGTTTAAAGATATTCTGAATGATCAGATATTTGCTCAGAGTGAAGTGGATTCAGCCATGGTGCGAATTACACGAGGTCCCCACTGTCAATATACTTGTAAAAATGAGTAAGATGTTTATCTGTGAGTACACACAAAAGCAATTCAGTAAGTAAGCGAGCTTGGAGAAGCAGCTGTGCTCCGCTCTTCAGTGGAGGTGGGAAAGTGAACCAGACATGAGTTTGTAAAACCAACCTGTTAGTCCTCATCCTTTACATTTTTTCTCTTGTAAAAATCAAACAACCTGTCAGAGAAAATTTCTGCTAAAGAATAAATCAGATCTTTGTGAGTGTAGCCACGTTTTGTTTGAGTGTGGAATGGGCTCATCGTGGCCGACAGTTGGGGAAAAAGGTACTAGTGGGTGTTGCCCTCCAGCGTCAGGGGGCAGGAATGAGCCCATTCTGGCTCAGCGCTTCAAAATGAGACAAAGAACACCGCCCACCTCCAAACTTACTTTGGACCAGCCACACATAAATTTGTTTGTTTTTAACACCATGTTTTTGTTTTACAAGAGAGAAGGTGTCAGGGATGAGGACTAACATGTCTCTCATACCTGTTACCACACACAAGTTTGGAGATCAAAGACGGCGTCTGAAATTGAAGACCAAATTCCCACAATGTGACTACGACCCGCGTCTTCAAACAAACCAACTAATGCATGAAAACAAAGCCATTTGAACACAAACAAGCCAGCAACATGGACAAAGCTTGATTTGTGCTGCATTTTTAAAACACAAGATTAAAGGAGAAGATGTGTCTCTCTATGTTCCCTTTTTACATTATTACAAAGGGAATACATTCAAAATTTAAGTTTCAACGCTTTGGTTCATGTGTGGTTATGTTTAGGCACAGAAACCACTTGGTTAAGATTAGGAAAAGATCTGTTTTGCCTTAAAATGCCCGGTTTTGGGGGCACAATCCTGACTGGAAACGATGTCTCGGTAAAAGACAACCACTGTTTGTGGCACTATCACGGCAGAAAACACAGCAATGTCTAAATAAATACAACCGTTTCTCGTGGCACTATCACGGCAGTAACGCAGCAATGTCTAAATAAATACAACTGTTTCTCGTGGCACTATCGCAGCAGAAAACGCAGCAATGTCCAAATAAATACAACCATTTTTCGTGGCACTGTCACGGCAGAAAACACAGCAATGTCTAAATAAATACACCCGTTTTTTGTGGCACTGTCACGGCAGAGAACACAGCAATGTCTAAATAAATACAACCGTTTTTCGTGGCACTATCACGGCAGAGAATGCAGCAATGTCTAAATAAATATAACCGTTTCTCGTGGCACTATCACGGCAGAAAACACAGCAATGTCTAAATAAATACAATTGTTTTTTGCGGCACTATCGCGGCAGAAAACGCAGTAATGTCTAAATAAATACAACCGTTTCTCATGGCACTGTCACGGCAGAGAACACAGCAATGTCTAAATAAATACAACCGTTTCTCGTGGCACTATCACGGCAGAAAATGCAGCAATGTCTCAGTGTCTTAGTACTTTTCTGCAAACCACAAACATGTTACCTCTTTACATTATTACATGGGGGATACATGCCAAATTTAAGTTTCAACAACACTTTGGTTAATGTGTGGTTATGTTTAGGCATAAAAACCACTTGGTTATGATTAGGATAAGATCTGTTTTGCCTTAAAAAGCCAGGTTTTGGGGGCACAATCCTGACTGGAAACACAGCAATGTCTTGGGAAAAAGAAAACCACTGTTTGTGGCACTATCACAGCAGAAAGCACAGCGATGTCTCAGTAAAATACAACCACTTTTTGTGGCTCTATCCTGGGAGAAAACATAGTAACGTCTAAATAACAACAACCATTTTTTGTGGTACTATCACCGCAGAAGACGCAGAAATGTCTTGGTAAAAAAAAACAACTACTTTTCATTGCACTGTCACTGGCAGAATATGCAGCTTCATTATCAATAAACCAAATGGAGCTAAATTCATCAGGATATTCATCACATTATCTAACACAGATTGCAATCAGGATGTTATTTGACCCTTCTGGTTCACCGTAACATGCAGCGAACCTGCTAAATCGCTGTTACTGCAGCTCGTGTGAGGTGAAATCAGTTTCATATCTTGTCCAGGTTTAGTTTATCAGAGGTTAGATCACTGTCAGAAATGTAACATAAACTCTACCTCACTCTCTCCTCCTGTGTGTGTGTGTGTGTGTGTGTGTGTGGTCAGACATGGCAGAACAGAGGCTTTGCCAAGGACATGTGGCTGGAGGCAGTGAACCCTCACCGGCCAGCGGAGGTGTGTGTGGCTCAGATCACACAGGTCAGAGGACGCCTGCTGTGGCTCCGACTGGAAGGTACAGTCGTGTGTGTGTGTGTGTGTGTGGGGGGGGAGATTAAGTGTCGGAGGATTAAGTGTCAGAGGACTCCTGCTGTGTCTCAAAAAAATGGCCTGTGTGTGTGTGTGTGTGTGTGTGTGTGTGTGTTAGTGTGTGACAGCTTCCTCACCCCTCCTCTCCCTCTTTGCTGTCTACCTGTCTCCAGGTGTGGCGAAGCCCCTGTCAGAGTGTATCATGGATGTCGAGTCCATGGACATCTTCCCTGTCGGCTGGTGCGAGGCCAACGCTTACCCTCTGACCCCTCCACTCAAACCTGTCTGTATGTACACACACACACACACACACACACACACACACACACACACACACAAAGAGAACACGCACATATTTACTTGGGAGTGACGGCTTAATGCAGACTCTGTGTCTCTGCAGGTCAGAAGCAGAAGAAGATCGCTGTGGTGCAGCCAGAAAAACAGTAAGCGAAGACTTTTATCTTCCAAAATATATCACAGTCACGGAGTTACAGAGTTCGACTGATGACAGGCTCATGCTGATATATTTGAGTAGTTTCATTGGCCTCAGCCTGACAATATACAGAGAGGATAGCAGTTTGTAGAAAATCAGAGGTCAAACATTAACACAGATGCTTCGAAAACTGATGTGAATCATGTGTTACAGCCTCTTCAGTCACAAGAACTCAACACAATTAGACGTCTACACATTTTCTGGTGCTCCGATGACCAAAAGCTAGAACGGTTGTTTAATTTTGATGTGTTAAAGTTTGCCAATCTTGTAACAAAAGCCTAAAAAGAAGGCAGGATAGTTTGTTTAATTAGTACTTATTATGATTTTTCCAGTGCTGCACGGTAAATATGTTATATGTGAGTGATCCAAGAACTCGTCAGACATAATGATGATCTGATTACTTAGGATGCTTTTGTTGCTTTGCTCCATTTTCTTTCTTTTCAATGCTGTCTGAAAACATGTACGTTGGACTCCGGTCCTGGCTTGTTTTGATTTTATGGTGTCTTGTAAACCTGTGCAGGATGGCACCTCACTATTTGCATGACACACTGATAAAAATTCATTCAACTCTGCCTACATGCTTGCAATCGGAGAGCCTTGTGCTATGTCTCAAATCACATACGTCCGTTAGTACACTTCCATGTAGTATACCATGTGCACTATGTACTTATTGGCGTAGTGCGCGAATTTCAACAGGGTAGTGTTGTCTCAAACCAAACACGGCTGTTGTGCACTCACCGGAAATGACGACCGCAAATTAGCTAGTTAGCAAACTAGCATTAGCATTTGCGTTATCGTTCGTGGTATCAAATCATCACAGACTGCTAAATTAACCCAACAAACACACTGCTGGCTTATACCCGACAACAGTATAGTGGTGCTTAGTGCAAAAAACACATGTATTTGTACAATGCAGCGACGTTCACGGTCGCACAGTCCTCAGCCGCTATTTCCAGTTTGAAAAGTGGTCCCTCCCCTTCCACTACGTAGCCAAGATGGCGACCATTGAGGGCGAGAAGAGTCCATAGTTCCACACTCAATGTCTTGACCGTTTTGAGTGCACCATCCAGGTACTCAAAATGCACTGCATTTTTCCATACTTCTCAATGTGAACGCACTTATGCACTCAAAATATTAAGTGTAAGTACAGAAGTACACAATTTGAGACACAGCATTGCAGTCCTCTTTCGAGGCATGCCCAAGAAAGACCATTTTTTTGATTTTATAGGCCAAATAGTTATCGATTAATCAAGAAAGTAATCAGCACATTTATCAGTAATGAAAATAATCATTAGTTGCAGCCTTAGTAGAACAGTGGAGCCTGGTCTCATTCCGAAGTCGTTGCGGCGTCAGAGATCAACAAAAAAAAGGCATCCTGTAACTTCGGCATGATACGCGGCCAGTTGCTGTTATAGTTTAACAGCGCTCGGTGGTGTCAGGGGGAAATGCGGCAGAACAAGGATGAAAGTTGGCAGGCAGTAGGCAGCAAAAGTCCAACTGGGGGGCGGGAATGGTGGTGGATGGGTCCAACAAACATCGACTTTCACCTGAGAGAGTGGCGTTCGTGTCCTGTAAGATTCTAAAGCCAAACCCTGTTCTTTTTTCCTAAACCTAACCACGTGCTTATGTCGTGAACGTTAATTCACAGTGTTGTACCATCGTAGTCCTTTTATTTCGAAAGAGACTGTATGTACGCGCTAAATTTCCTGTGAAAACTGAAGTGTATTTTGAAAGAAGACAATGCATGTAACAGGCAGAACTTGACACAGTATCTCAGAACATCAACAACCAACACACCCAGGGTACCTTGCACGTTGTGCGTGGACGTGGAAAGTCCATGACCAAATGTCAATACATGAAGAGGTCAGAGTGAGACTGTGTTGAACAGTGAGGTGACACAAAATGGCAGTTAAGTTGAATTATTTCTTGCAGTTGGCCGACTCAGAACTTATTGAGAATCTGATATAACACTTGACTTGTTTGATGGTATCGTCTTTTTCTCTCCCTGTATGTCCATTCAACCTCTATTCAAACTGAAGTATTGTCCACACGTATCCATCAGCCGATACATCACTTTAACTTAACTACTGTACAGCCATCGTCTGTGTCACTTCAGCGTGTTGTGAAAAATGGTTTCATTCACTGCCTTTTGTTTTCCATCCTTCTGCCTGTGAGCCAGAAAACAAAAAGTAAAGGTTTCTTCAGAAAACCCTGGAGGCTTTTCTCCGCCTGCCTCTCCCTCTCTGTCACTCCAAAGACATTAATTGAAACCGTGGCTTTTTAGAGCAGAAATTGCTTTCCCGCGGCGCTGATTGATTTTGTTGACAAATGACATGTTACACCGTCAGCTGGCAAACGCAGCCCGGGGAGTACGAGGAGAGCGCGGGAGAAATATGAGGTCTTCAGCAGCACTTTGTCAGCTCTCTCATCTAACCACTAACTCCATTTCTCACCTTCAGGGGAATCCTTTCATCAATACTTTCTCCCCGTCACTGCGTCCCCCCTGCTGCTTCTCTAACTCTTCTACTTCTAAACCTGAAACTGTTTGTGAAGACTGATCGCTCCAATGAGCCCTCATTTGATTGCTCTGTTGTTTCCTGTCTGATTACAGTTAGGTAATCTTATTGATTAGTTTGACTGTATTGATTGCTTTTCTCCCACAGGTTGGCCCCGTCCCAGCCGTTGGAGACGACTCCCGTCAGCCTCTGCCAGCCCGTCGCCATGGATCCAGGTAATCAAACAGCCACGTTACACATGATTTATCTCCAGTGATTAATGCTAATGAGAGTTGAGGAGAAGCCCCGCCTTTCAGATACTCCTACACTCATAAACATCAGTGGTTTGCGATGCCGAGCATTCAGCTTGTGTTTCTTCATGAGTCCTTTTGGGACATGAAACATGGTCGGCTTTGTTTAACTGGTAAAATAACAACTTCCAGTCTTCATTCAGACAGAACATTTCCAATAGTCGCACCATATCTGGCAAATGGTACAAAAAGGGAGCTGAGTTGGAGAGTGATGATATCAAGAAGAAGAGCGTCTTTTTATTCTCCCACAAGATGCATATTTTGCCACTGAAAGCTCAATTAAAAACCACTGTGAGCACCAGTTCCACTTTCACTCATTGGCAACAAATCCCCTACATCAATTTTACTGTTTAGATGTTACTTCCTATTTCCTGTCCAAGGTCCAAATAAGAAAGATTTTATTAGTGACGTTCATGTAAACCTTTAGTCATGAGACATGGATGGGAGAGGGAAGGAAAGGAAGGGAGGAAAGAAGGAAGGAAGGAAAGGAAAGAAAGAGGAAAGGAGAGATGAGACGAAGGAAGGAAAGGAAAGAAAAGAAAGGTAGAGTAAATGCAAGAACAGGGTAGGAAAGGACTGACAAGGAAGGGGAGGAAAGAAGGAAGGAAGGGAAGGAGAGGAAAGGCAAGGAAGGGAAAGAAACAGAAGCAAAGGGGAAGGAAAGGAAAGGAAAGAAAAGGAAAGGAAAGGAAAGGAATCAACTGATAGGAAAGAAAGGGAGATGAAAGGATGGGAGAGGGAAGGAAAGAAAGGAAGAAAAGAAGGAAAAAATGGAAGGCAAGGAAAGGAAAGGAAAGGAAAGGAAAGGAGAGGAAAGGAAGGGGGAAGACGAAAGGAAGGGAAGTAGAATAAAAAAAGGAAAGCAGAGGAAAGGAAAGGAAAGGAAAAGAAAGGAAAGGAAATGAAAGAGGAAAATAAGGGAAGGAGAGGAGAGGAGAGGAAAGGAAAGGAGAATAAATCAACTGATAGGAAAGAAGGGGAGATGAAAGGAAGGGAGAGGGAAGGAAGGAAGGAAGGAAGGAAGGAAAAGGAAAAAAAGGAAAGGAAAGGAAGGGGAAGGAGAGAAGAAGTGAAGGAATGAAAAGAAAAGAAAAGGAGAGGAAATGGAGGAAGAGGGTAGGAAAGGACAGAAAAAGAAGGGAGCAGAAGAAAGGAAGGGAAGTAGAAGAAAGGAAGGGAAAGGAAAGGAAAGGAAAGGAAAGGAGAAGAAATCAACTGATAGGAAAGGGAGGGAGAGAGAAGGAAGGGAAGATAGGAAAGGAAAGGAAAGGAAAGGAAAGGAAAGGAAAGGAAAGGAAAGGAAACACAATCCAAACAGTAACACTGTGTTGTGTCCATGTAGGTAATGACAGTGACAGTTAAAGAGAAACCACACTGGTGACAGAGTAACGTGTGTGTGTGTGTGTCATAACAAACACAAAGAGCAGCTACAACGAGACGCAGCTCGTGGCTTCAGTTTGCACTTTGTCCTACTGAGTCTCATTTCCTCTTTAGTTAAGCTTTTTTTCTCTCTCATGGAAAACAATATACCACAAAAATATACACGGATGAATTTCTCTCTGCTGCGGAGGAAACCCTCACTTCTCTCTGATACACAGAGAGCTGGAACATTTTCTGCTATCAGATTTTACTGGAGCTGCACTGGAGCTACTATGTCTGGATTTGGCCAGCGATCAACTGGAAGCAGAGAAATACACCCACAGACCAAAACACAGAGCCAGGAAGGCAGCATCCTTTTTTATCCATGTTTAAGTGTTTTAAAACGAGTCTCTCCTTAAAGAAAATATCAGGCTTTAACAACTATAGTCTTATTATTTTAGTTTTCCTGGTATTCATGTGAAGAAAACACTTTATAACTGAGGCCAGACACAAGAAATCACACTGGTTTTAAATCAGGCTTGTGTTTAAACACATGTACAATCAATAATAAGTGCCTAAAATAACTGAGTTAAAGAAAACAATGGGATTAAAGACTAAATTTAAAGGTACAAAATACGTAGCCTGAGCAAAGTTAGGTGTATTTCTGGATGCATTTCAGCAGACCACACTGGAGAAGATAGGGCTAATGTTTGTTGTGGATGTGTATGTAAACAACATGTATGTTCAGGCACAAAGAGAGCAGCGGGCTAAGTCTTGTTTCCAGGAGACCCTTGCCCTCTTTTTTCAAGTTCCCCGTGTAAAAACCACCCACTCGCTCATGCATATTCATCCCCTCACCTAATTACTATTCACCCCTAGCGGTGCGGTTCCAGGTGCTGGCAGTAGTCGGGGGCTGCAGGAAGGGCGGAGAGCAGCTTCGTTATGTCGACCCTCATTTATCTCCGGGGGGGTAGGGAGGTGGGGGGGATCACATGAACAGGACATACTCTTGGCCCAGTTTGACTCTGCATTCGCCCCTCTCACTGCTCATATACAATAAACAAAACAGCAACATAGGAAAAGGTGAAAGAACAAAGGGTGCTCTGTTAAAGACTCTGACAACCTGTTTTCTACATCAGCTGAGTGACGGATGCCTCAGTGTAAACACAGTTTTCTGCCAAAGTAACAACAGTTACGCTGATTTCACTGAGAGATCTGTAGATTATTTGGTTTTCTCTGGGCTCTTCTCACTGCTTTGATGTGGGCAGAGTTCAGTTGGGAAAAAGGTGCAGCCAAAAATCAGGATTAGCAACATCTGAATCAGAATCTGATGAGGTTGTTTCATCACTGTATGTTATCGAACAGCACACACACACGGTCCTGATGAAGCAGATCAGCTGACTGTTTGTGTTGAGTGTTAAACTTGTTATAAATAATACCTCCATGTTTTATTTTCACCCCAAACCTAAACTGTGATTGCTGCATCGCATATTATCCAATTAATATTAAATGTTATAGACTAGTGGTTCCCAGCTGGTGGGTCATGGTCCAAAAGTGGGTTGCAGATCCACTCTGAAAAAAACACAAGTGACTTGGAAACGTGTCGTTTATAAAAAAAAAAACAAAAAACAACAAAAAAAACCAAAAACACTTCATTTAAGTGCAGTGAATTTCCGACACAGAGCTTTTATTTCGAAGTGCCGCTTCCTGTTGTAGAGTGAGTGAATGGACAGCAAACTAGCTCAATGACATGGCCAAATGCAAGTACGATGCTGAATGTATTAAAGGGATAATGCACCCAAAAATGAAAATTCAGCCATTATCTACACACAAACAAAAAGAGGAAAAAAAAAAAAAAAAGAGTCCTCACATCCCTTGCGGAGATCGGCAGGGGGAGGGGCTAGCACACCTAATGGCTGATGGTGCCCCAGACTAACGTCCAAGAACAAGAGCACAGTTGCTCAGTTGGATTAAGTGGATACATGCAGCAATAGTTCGGTTTTCAATCGAATTATCTAGGTGTGTTAGTCGAGCTACGGATAGTCCAATTTCAGTCAGACTAAGCATGAATTTAAAAGTCCTGTTTCAGTCTGACTAAGCCAATAATTTGCTCAAGCTGCATGTAAACGTACTGACTCATTGCATGGTCATTGTTGTCATAACATTTAGCCAAGTTCAGTGCTGGGAAGTAGTGAATGACATGTAATAAAAGTAGTAGTTTGACTATTTCGGGCCACAAAAGTAAAGTTTTTTATTTGTATTTTACCATTTCTTCTCTACTGTAATCAAACCCCCTTTGACCACAAGTAGTTATTAGTATTGATTATTGTTATTTATTAACGAATATTCACAGAAGTTACTGCATGATATTTTAGACTATCACCCCAAGTTCAAACCTTGGGATAGGGGAGCCCCCAGTTCTCCCCGTATCAGTGTGGGTTTCCTCCAGGTACTCCAGCTTCCTCCCACAGTCCAAAGACATGCAGGATAATTGGTGACTCTAAATTGTCCGTAGTGTGAATAATTGGCTGGCATGTGACTCTTTTGTGTTATATTTTGTTATAATTTAGTGTCACATGTACAGTACATTGTCAATTTGATCATTTTTAGAAAGCAGCTTGAACTACTTTTTCCATACTTAGATTTCTACCTAGTGTAGCTTTGCTGTAGTTCAGCTAATTCCATTGTGAAGAAAATGGCAGCTTGAAGCCTTTGAGAGCTCTCGTGTTGTTGTGTAGGGGTATGTGAGTGTGCGTTGGGTTAATGGAATGTTTTTTCTTTTATGAGAGACAGCATATTTCGTTTTATGTAACTATGCAATGACAGTCAGGGCATTCATTCATTCATCCATTCATTAAAGTATCTTCCCCAACACTGGCAAATGTGGACAACACTGTTCTGACTGCATGTCTGCGACTGTTGCACAATGTAGTCATGAAGATTTGGACCAAATGAACAGAAAAATCAGATCCTTGCCGTTCTGGTCACATTGACAACAACTATCACAAAACACAAATTAAAACCGTTTTGACAGACTTAACATGAGATGCCACTCTATCAACCATGTCCACTGTGACTATTGAGACTCATGTATACTCCCATTACGCATGGAAATAGATACGTCTGTTTAAAATGTACGCGTCACTGCCCTCATTCTGCCATGCGTCCTTTATGTTGGCATAAATACAGCCAATAGACGGCTTTAGACGGATTTTGGTAAAATGCCTCAAATAAGGTCTGTGGTCAACAAAAGCTTAAGCGAGTTTCAGGTTTTGTTCTATGACATAAAACACGTCAGTATATACCCTACTTGTGAATTCTGAAGCTTTTACGTGTCGTAAAAAAGGCAGTTGCTAACAAGTTGTTCAATACGACTACAAACCCTGTCGGGGACATTAAACGTCATCACCCCCGAACAGGCGAGAGTGCTGGCAGTCCACCATTACAGCTTCTTATTTAGCTTAAACAGTCCGATTTCCCCATTATACAATGTTTTTAAAATAAAGCGGCCGAAATCAGTTGAAAGCTTAGTGGCGGTGACGCCAAGAGTCATGCGACCGTGGAGTAGTCATGTAGTCCGTTAAAGCCTAACGTTAGCTTTTTACTTCTGGCGATCGCATTTAAGCTTCAAATGTGGTATGAAAGGTGTTCATATGTGAAGATTATCTCGCTGAACAAAACCTGTAAGTATCATAAACTTGTGTTAGCCACAGAGCTTATTTTCTGACATAATCCAAAAATCACATTCACTTTCTCTTCCGGGAACCAGCGTGATGCTAAACTTCCGGGTTTTGACGTCAGCCCTGGTACACTCTATACAATTTTATTTATAAAGCCCGGGATGCTTTTACATCTGGAACCTCCCATCTACAACAGGCTTGAGATGCGCCCTCATTGAGGACTTGGCTCAGGGTCCGGAGTTACTCTCTTACACCTTCTTATCCTGAAGCCTCCTTAAGGAATCTGATCCCGTTTGGTTCGGCGGTGGGAACCTCTTGTGACAGCATGTCTTTGCTGACGTCGACGGAACCCTGGACCTTCCGCATGGAAGACGAGTGCACTAACCACTACACGAGAGAGGCCCCAATAAAGCCCAATATCACAATTCGCCTCAGAGGGCTTTACAGCATACGACAGCCCTCAGTCCTTGGACCCTCACAGCAGATAAGGAAAAACTCCCCAAGGAAACCAATAACCAAAACCATACATGAGCCCTTATAGATGAACTATGTGTCAGTAGAGAGTCAAAGACCAAGTTAGAGCAGCTATCAAAAGGCAGTGTATCCCAGGACTGCATGGATAAGTCATTTTTTGAAGATTGCATCGTCACAGTTCTGGAGTTACTCCAACATGTCAGGCGTCTGTGTTCAGTTGTGGTTATGTCCTTACATTTGAAACTTCATTTAAAAACCTTAATAGAAGCTTGAAATGTATTTTTTTTTTTTTTTAAAAAAAACATCTGATACAGCCCTGTTAAATATAAAAATATTCCGCACCAACACTGCTCAGATCTGGCAACCAAAAGCTGCAACATCTGCTGTCAGATTAAAATAAAGGGTTTGATTATACTTGTAAAACTTGTTTGTATAGTGTCTTTCTAATGTTTATTTTTCCACATACAGTATGTTATATATTTTTTAGGAGTTACATTAACTACATCAGCTCAGGACGAACACACATCAGAGATTAAATCTTTAGATTTGTTTAGTTTTATTCTTGGATCTTTGACGCTGCAAACTATGGTTCATGTTTCTGTGTGCTTTCATTTAGATGACTCAAGATAGCGATGACTAATACCCTAGAAAAGTTTGTTTAATGACGAGCAGGCAGTGGGCTTGTGATTGATGGATATATAAAATGATAAACTTATTACTGACTTGTTTAATACTCTTTTGTTTGGCTACATTTTTAAAAGAGACTTAAGAGAAGTTAACACGCATCATATATGTTTCTATGTTGGCTAATGTTCCTGTTTCTGGTCCTCTCTCTCAGGCTCAGCCAACGGCAGATACTGCTGCTCCAAGATTTTTGTCAACCACCGCTGTTTCTCAGGACCCTACCTCAACAAGGGACGCATTGCGGAGCTGCCGCAGGCCGTCGGGCCCGGAAAGTGCACGCTGGTCCTCAAAGAGGTGGGCTGATGAGAGGAGCAGGTTTAATCAAAGAGTTACACACTTTCAAAGCGAGGGGTGGGCTGACAGAGATTGAAAGAGGGGAGGAGGTGAAAAACGGAGGGTGAGACAGCGATGTCTTGTTAACCACCTGCAGTTTCCCAGCAGAGCCTTCGTTTTAATGTGAGGAGCTGTCAGTCAAGCGTGTTTACACATACACACCACCGCCACTACCGCTCAGCAAAACAGCCTCTTAATTTCTCCAGAGACTGTTTGTGCGTGCACATGCACTTTCTGTATGTGTGTGAGCATGCACAAATGTATCCGTAAAGACAAGTGTGATCTGCATTTGTGCTCCTTCATGTTTGTGCAGTTACTCTGATTCTTCCTGAGAACTGTTTAATAGAAGCGGGAGTTTATTTTTTTTTAATCTGCGGTTTTGTTTTTGCCTCCAGCTGCTGAGCATGCTGATCAACGCCGCCTACAAGCCCGGACGAGTCCTGAAGGAGCTGCAGGAGCTGGAGGATCAGAGCTGGGACTGCCAGGAGGAGACCCTCAAAGCCAAGTGAGGAGAGCACAAAGACGTGCAGGAGAACGTTCACTAGAACACATTCTCCCAATTGATTTGGTTATTCTCTGGTTCTGGTCATTTTCAGGGGCAGTGAAGTCATAACATTACAGGCCTTTTTGGCTTTCATGCTTAATGTATTGTAAATCATAATAAATCAAACTATGACCACATCTCATCACATAAATCAGTCGCAGGCCTCACAGAGGAGCCTGCTGTTTTTCCCTCTCGCCGTCCCTGAGAGTCCATATCGCCCCCTCTGCTGAACTTTTGATATTATTTTTTCAGAGCTTTGTGCGAGTTGTGCATTTTCCTCCACTGCTGGCTGCACAGAGCCAAATTATTCCACAGCTCCAGGCTGCGTGCTCTGTGTTGTCTAATCAAAAACTGCTCCATTTTTTCTGGCTGAAACGAGAAAGGCTCGGCCAGTCACGGGTCCTGGTGAGTCACCTGCGCTGGGCTGCGGAGCACAGTGATCACATTCATGCACCAATGTTTTGATAAGTCAACAAAGTAACAGAGTTACTTCTGATTTTCTGGGGCGTTTGCCGCCCTGAGAGACGAGTCATCGAACCAGACTTGTTAGCAGCTCTGATCAAAAGGTGGGTTAATTATCTCAGGAGAAAAATGTGTTTTTTGGGGCAACTTCACAGTGATTCTTTTGGACATGTAGAAGTGCTGAAAACTAACAACAGAAACTTAGTAATAATTTTGATGATCTATTAATTGTTGAAGAAGTTTATTGAGCAAAAATGAAATGAAAAAAGCTTCCTAAATGTAAAAATGTTCTACTTGTCATTGTTTTAATATCACAACTGACTTTAAATCTTTGGGTTTTGACATTTTAAGATGCCACCTTGGTCTGTGAGAACTTTTAATGGACATTTCCCCCCCAATTTTCTGGTATATTACACACTAAATGATTTATCGGTTTCCAGGAAAAATGGACATATAATTTGATAATGAAAATTATCATTAGCTGCAGCCCTAACATGTATTGGAACTTGTTTATTGGTGGAGCATCATGCTGCTGCCAGTCTTCTTTCTCTATCTGGGTCTGTTTAGATCACATTTAATTATCTTTGCACCTCAGGCCCCTTTTATGTAAGGTCTTTTTTGAAAATGTATTAGTGTACAGTGGTTTGGGACAGATTTTCCATGGTACAAAATATTATACCCCATTCTTCCCCCAAGTATTAAAGGATAGTTTAAGTTTTCAAGTCTTAAATTAAAGGTCAGGGGCTGGTTGCACAAAGCATCTTAAGTTTGCTCCTTAAGTATGACACTTAAGGATTAGTTTTTCCTGAGCTGAGGAAATTACTTAAAGTTGTTGCACAGAATCTCTTAAAGGGTTTCTTTAGTCAAGAAAAGACCTGCTGTCGCATCTAAGGATCCTCTCACAAATTCGGCCTGATAGTAAAAAAATTGCATTGGATAAGAAGACACGAAAAACAAATTGGCTGGAGGGAGAAAAATCATACTTCTAGAGGAATTCAATAACCCTCTCGTCTAGAATCTGAGCGTCATGGATACTGCGAGGCCATTGTGCTGCAATGTTGGTTATTTTGTTTTCATAACTGCAGACAAACTCAACACTGATTGAGTGTTGATTTTTTAATGGTTGACAAATTGATCCTCATGTTGTGCGGGCGCTTGGATCCTGAAGTGGGTTCCGTCTTTCACCCCGCAAAGTTTTGGGAAGCAGGCAACATCAAAAAAGTGTGCCGCTATGTCTTCCTCTTCCTGTTTGGATGGGAACGTCACTACAGTGTTTGCAGACACGGTGAATGACGCAGCATACCGTTGACTTGTGTATGCCTCGCCAATAACTTATTGGAAAGATCCCATCAAATAAAACTGCAGAGCAATCGTTAATTGTAACGGGGCTGGAAGAGCACAGCTTTGGAAAACAGTGATCAAACTTCAGACGTTACAAGAAATTATAAACTGACCTTCAGTGAAATTTATAGTGCAAAATTATTGCTCATCATGAAGGGTGTCTGTTGGGTTCTTGCGGTTGCAACACTCTTCTTAGGATGCCTTCATTTTCCTCATTTATGCAGTTCTTATGCAGTCAAAGGTACCTTTAGTTTCTTCCTTACCTTGGTTACTAAGGCTCTTTGTGCAACAGTTTAACAAACTTTAAGCAGTTCCTTAAGTGTAAGACCAAGATAAGGAGAAAAACTTAAGGAAACCTTAGGTAGGAGACTTAAGGATGTTTGTGCAACTGATTTTATTTAAAGGAAAGTACTTTATGCAACCAGCCCCAGGTGACCATGTTAACATGTGAACAGGTTCTGTTTGCTGTAATCACTCCTCCTGTTCATACTGGCCTAATGCACTTTCAATGGACAAGATCCACAGTCTTTATTTTGTGTAAAAATACGCTCCAGTGTTTATCCACAGTTAATATGGGGCTTAAGTTGTCTGACTGAGATAAATCAAGTGTGTATCTTCCTGTCTTTTAGTACAAAAGTCCCTCCTTGTAACCATAACTAACGAAGTGAAGGAACTTCATACTGAAAAGACAGTTTATTTGGAAAGCATGCTCTCAGTCTGACATATTAAGACTGCTGAAGCCTCGTATTAACGTCAGATAAACTTTAGAATACATTTTTGCACAAAACAACAGCTGTAGATCTTGTTCCCCATCACTGACAACGAAAGTGTGTTAAGAAATACAACCGGGAGGAATAATTACAGCAAGCAAAACCTGTTTCTGTGTTCATGTGGGCAACTGGCCATTGTTTTTAGTGAACCAAGCCTTTATGATTGTAGGAAAGGTTAGGAATCATCAGGTTACATTATATGCTTTTAAATGTACAAACAGATCTGCTAAGCTCATGTACGTAACCACAAGAGAATAAGCTATTTGGGATATTTGTGACCAGTCATTAACATGAAAAACATCTTTCAGTTCTTAATGTTCGTGGTAAAATGTCTTGTTATCAGGCATTTGGTCGTGTCCGTATGTGTGTGCACGTGCATGTGTCTGCCTGTCCGTAGCCTACTCGCACACTACTTGACCAATCAGCCTAATACTTTATGTACGCATGTATAACTGTAAGTTCAAGGACCTCTTATGGTTGCGTTGATTCACAATTGACCTTTCGCTAAGGAAAAATGAAAGAGTGATTCCAGAGAGAAGCAGACAGAGGGGTCTACAGTCTGTGTTTGAAGGATATATCCAGAATGTCAAACTGACTCAGCAGCAACAACAGGTTAAAAAGACAAAGATAGTTAGAAGCTAAAGCCGAACTATAGGCTACAGATCACAGTGTAAAAGTGAACCACCACATCACTGCTGGTTCATATTGAACCAGCTGTGTGGCATTGCAGCGTGTGCAGATGAACTGTGTTTGGCTTCACCCTTCATCTGCACACACTGTGATGACACACAG